GCTGCTGAGGCCCGTGCCGTTGGCGGGAATCGAACCCAGGACCCTCCAGTCCATGGGCCAAACAAGTAACATTTTACCGCCTTATTAATAATGTCTGCAGGGTCCTTCATTCTTGATCAAGCCACATAAAGATTTACCAATTTTCTGATCATTCCAAAGGCCCACTTTTGTTTGTACTGTTTTCCGGTTAGTTTGTGTTGTTGATTTCTGATCTGTATCACTTCCTGGCTTCTGTGTAGTCTGTGCCTAGTGTGTTCTCTCTAGCTTCTCAAGGCAGAGGAGCGGGTCGCTGTTTTCAGACCTTCCTTTTCTAGTGTAAACACTCAAAGCTCCCACCTTCCTTCTAAGCACAGCTCCCCCAGAGAGGGTTGGGGGCTCGATCCCCAGTGCGGGGCGTGCAGGAGGCAGCCAGTCCATGATGTTTCTCTCCCTCTCCCTTCCTCTTTGAAATAAAACATATTTTCTACTTTCTCTTGTGATTTCTTCTTTGACCTTCAATTAATTAAAAATGTGTTCACTTCCAAATATTTGGGGATTTTCCAGAATCTCTCTGTAGACTTTTATGCTCCTGCCACGTGGGCGGGGACTCGCGTCAGATGCGTGGTGGCCCCGTGCTGGAGGCGGCGAGCCCTGGTGCCTGCTGTGCGTGACCTCAACGTCCCAGAGCAGGCGAGTCCCCACGATGCCCAGCGTGGCCCCGTCTTCTCCCACATCTCTTAATCTGAGGGCGAAGTCAGAACTCTTCTGTCAGGAGAGCGCTTCTGCTACAAGGAATTAACTTCAGACCATGCCCTTGACATATGCCAAAGGCGATGATGCATTTCAAATGTTAACACGACCTGCTTTAGGAGTCACATCTGAGCGGTCACGTTTGTCAATTAATGGAGCTCAGCACTCGCCGGTCTCGGGAACGTTCTCGTGAGCCAGGCCTGTCAGAGCGGCAGCTGTCGGGGAGGGCGGGCCTGAGGCTGCTCGGCCAGGTCCCCGTGGACAGGCAGGTAGGTGGCGGCTGCGTCTTCTGCCCCAGGCAGTGAGCTTCGCACCTGGAAGTGGGATCCGCCCTCTGGAAGGTCTGGAACCCGGGGTCCTGACGCGCACTCGGTAGCGAGTGACACCAAACGGAGGCTCCGAGGCACGGCCGCTCCTTGCCTTTCCCGGACAGCCGTCCCCGGGACCCCGACGCTCCGCCCACCCGCTGGAGCCGGGGCTGCGCACTCCCGCGCGGGACAGACAAGGACCTCACACGCCACGTGATAAAGCACGAGTCGCAGATGCACCCTTGGCCAAGTGGCAGGAACGGGAGCCCTGTCCCGGCCAGGCTCCCAGCTGGGTGCCCAGGCCTGGACGGGCACAGAGGACGAGGTGTCTTGTCCGGTCAGTGGCGGTGCCTGGGCTTCTAGCGTGAGGTCAGCCCTCAGTGCCCGGAGACCCCTGGGCGGGGGAGTGGGGACCTGCTGCGGTGCCAGAGGCCCAGACCAGGTGCACCAGCCACGGCTTCTCCTTTCAGACCAGGGCGCCGGCCTCCCTCGCTCTCCTCAGCGAAGACAGGCCCCGGCCGGCGGTCAGGGGCACGACAGGCCCTCCCCTGCTCTGGGCCGTGCTGGGGGCGGCGGCCTGGCCTGGTCACAGTCACCTGCTGGAATTTACTCAAGACTCGAACCTCCGATCTTCCCGCCAACAGTAACGGTGCGCGTGTGGTCCTGAGGGGCAGCGGCCGGACAGGTGACCCGGGCACGGCGGAGGCCCCTGTGCTCGTGTCCCACAGGGAGAAGGGCTGCGAGGGGCCCAGCGTTCGCCAAAGCAGCGGCTTCCCAGGACCTGCAGCCTGTTCAGAGCGAGGCCCTCCCCAGGCCCCCAGCTGCCTACCTGGACCGGGTCCGCTTCCTGCTGACGCCCGGGCTGTTGCTCACCCGGTAGGCGGTGGGCACGCTTCTGTCTTCCCTCCGTCTCTCGGGAGAGTGAGCTCTTCTCCGAGGGGACCGGGACCGGGACCTGGCAGAGGAACGGGCACCTCAGTCCTGCTGGCTGGCCGCAGGCGCCCGTCTGCCGAGGCGGTGAGGGACCTCAGTCCGGGGTGCGGGCGACGGGCGCCTGTCAGTCCTGCCGGAGGCCCGCCCCACTCACTGCTCTGCTGGGACACTGTCTCCCGTCCCAGAGCACCTGCCTCAGCGACGCTAAACGTTACGCAGCGCACAGCTCACTCTGCACCGGAGCTGTGCCGGCCCCAGTGCCACAGCCCTGACTCGGGCCTGCAGCCTCCTTCCTGCCTCTTTCTGCTCCCGCGGCTTCTACCAAAGCCAGGCAAGGAAAGCAAGGAGATCCCAGTGCGCCATGGCAACAGGGACACTGGGACGCAAGGGGGCGTGGCCTGTGCTCCTGAGCACGAAGCCCAAACCTCCGGTCCCATCGGCCGTGCCCTCTAGCCTCTCGGGAACGTAGGCTAAGGGATCACAGTGACGACATCGGGGGTGCAACCCCATCAACACCCCATCCTCCTCTCACGTGCCCGCAGGACACGCACCAGGCCCTGCGACCCCGGCACCGACTCCCACTCGAGACCCTCCCACAGGGACACGGTCCTTAACGGAGGGACCTTTAATGATGGGCCCAGGATCCTTCATCTAGTTTTTTGTTCTGTGAAATTACTGGTTTGGGAAGTCCTGCAATAAGCAGAAATGGAAAAAAAAAACACCCAGTTTCTTCTTGTTCTGTTTCTATGACAACCCACTCAAAAAACAATCAAGAAGAGCAGTTTGATTTTGCCAGTTTAAAAAATCCTACATTGAATCATTTAATTACAATAAAACGCTCAACACAACACATTGTTGTTCTAAAGACCAGTGTAGACCACACTCCCAGTCGCCCGGGAACACTGCCCGTTGGGAGGGCCCGGCCCCCCGCAGAGCTGCTCCTCAAAGGTCTTGTGTGTTGTCCCCCCCCCCCCCCCCCCAGACAGGCCTTTTCTAAGATTTATGGGACAGATTCTAAGGGGGGGCAGGCCTTGTCCCAGGGTTCTCCTGGCCAATCTGCTCGAGGTCACAATCTACGTGGGAACTGCCTGCTCTGCGGCCGCCCTGGAGCGGCTGTGACGGGCGCGTGTGGTGCCCCGGGGGGAGGGGGGAGTGGGGAGGGTGTGACCCAGGCACACGCCACACTCACAAGAACATGGGCTGGGCTGGCGGAACCAGACCCCGAGGAAAGCTCTGCTTAGACAAAGCTCCGGCACCACGGACGCTCCACGGGGAATTCTACAACGAACTCGGCATGAGGAAGTCCACTCGCTTTGACACCTGCGCGTCCTTGCTAAATGACGAGGGCCACCCGCAGTCCTGGGCCCACAGACCCCGGGGCTGGACTGCGCTCGCACCCGACGTGAAAGCGGAACTCCCGCCTCAGGAAGAGGCCGACCGCCTTCACAGCGAGCAGCCGGCGGGCTCACTGGGACGCAGGCAGGTGGGAGCTCCTGGCCAGTCACCGCTCGGAGGCCCGAGGCCGACACTGTCCGTGTCCACCACGTGATGTCAGACGAGCCCTTACACACGCTGACAGGCAGCTGTGCCCAAGCACAGAGCGTACACACCTGCATTTCCCGCGGGAGAGGACCCACAGCCACAGGAGAAAGGCCGTCACCGAACACCCCAAGGTTTAGAGCTGAAAACTGTCTGAGCCCTCAGCAGCTACTTGAAAACAAACAAGCCTGCTTTACCAGGAGTGGGCTCTGCGGCCCGAGACGCTAAGCTCAGCTGCTCTTTCAAAACCTGGCTCCCGGCAAAGGCAGCTCCCAGTGCAACAGTGGCTCTCGGCGGGAGGCCAATCAGTGCTGAGCCGCGGAGCCCCTCTGGGTCACAATTCGTGCGGAGCAGATGGGAGGATGCGGCACAAGCTCCGCTGCCCTGACCGTCACACCCACAGGCGTCGGGGCGCGAGGGAAGTCCACGCCTTTAAACACAAACCCCAGCCCAGGGCGTTTCACAGTCAGCCCGCGGCCGTGTGTGCGTCCCCCAGGGCCTGTTGGCATTTGATAAATCTCCTTAAAAACCTGCCAGTAGCTCGTGAGGTTTAGAGTTAAGTAGAAAATAAAAAATACTTTCTTTTTTAAAATCCTCACCCAAGGAGGTTTTTATTGATTTTTTTCTAGAGAGAGAGAGAGAGAAAAGGAGGAGAGAGAAGCGTCAATGTGAAGCACCTATGGGCTGCCTCCTGCATGCACCCCGACTAACAGAGCCCCCGCCAGGGCATAGAAATGTTTTCCAGAGCTCTTGTCTGGGCCTGCAGGACGCACCCCCCCCCCACACACACACACAGACACACGCACACCCACCTGGAGCGCCGCGCGGTGCGGTAGGCACTGGGGAGGGAGTGCTTCGCCTTCGAGTGGGACCGAGACCGGGACTTGGACGACGAGTGGTACCTGGGGGAGCGCGACCTTGTTCGAGACCGTTTTTTGTGCTTCTTCTTCTTCTTCTCTCTCTCTTCTTCGCGGGGAGGGTCTCTGCTTTTGCTCGAGGGCCCTTCTGGGGGTTTCATGTCGACAAGCGGCAGAGGTCGGCCCCCACTCAGGAGAGGGCAGGCCACGGGGCTGGCTTCCTGGGAGCAGAAGCAAAGACAACGTGGCGTTTGAAAACGTCCGTTCACACGACTGCCCGAGGCCCTCGCACCAGACGCAACGACACCTCAGGGACCACGTCTCTCCACGCGGCTCTGAACCAGCGCAGGCCTCACGGGAACAGACGGCTCCCCAGACCCGGAAGGACCCCTCCCACCCGTCAGCCACGCGGCCGGACCTGATGAACAGACACGGCTGGGAAGAGAGCCACACTCGCTCTCTCATACATGATGGCGACTTTGCACCAAAAGAGACTCCTCAGCCCCCACATCAGTGTTTACGGACGTCGGTGCCGCTCGGAAAATGACTTTGGAAGAGAAACACGAAGCTGGTAGCTGTGGCCACAACCAGACCCAGCTCACTCAGCCGGCCGCAGGGTGAACCAGCCCAGCGCCCTCACCGGAGCCCCTCCTCCGGCCACAGGCTGCGGGCACAGGAGCAGGAACCAGCCAGGCTCAGCAGCCCGCCGGGCGGACGAGCCCACAGAGCAGCCCCGTTCCCAGTCAGGGCCGCCTTGACAGGACCCCCAGGGCCCGTCACATCACCTGGAATGAGAACACACGTGCACCAGAGATGGGGGCTGGCCCCCCAAGTCCCAGTCGCTCTGCGGGCTGAAGCCCTGCCGCATACACTGGGGCCCGCGGGCCCTGCACCCGGACACTGGAGGAGCCAGGACACCGTCTCAGAAGCTGCTTTAGGCTGGAAATATTTCCGAGTGTGAATCTCATTTGTGACAATTGCCAATTTAATTCCAGTATTTTTGTTTCAAAGCAATTAAAGGCATTTATCACCGTCTGCTAGTGCCACGCGTTCCTGCAGAAATCGTTCAGTAGCGACAACCTCCCCCACTAGACTCCCAGCAGGATCGACCCCGTGATTTAAACAAGAGGCATAAACACTCAGCCTGCGTCTCAGACGCACAACACTCGCTGGAACACGGGGGGAGACGCTCAGAGATGACGGGAGCACCGCCTGCCGTGCTCGCAAGGACGGGCCTGGGGCTGCGGCAGGTGACGCGGCAGCGTGGGGAACGCAGGGCTGCGGGTGACGGCTCTGGGGGGGACCGAGCTCTCATGAAAACAGTCGCCCGGAAAGACAGATGCGGCCGTGGTATAACCAGGAGGCCTCCTGTATGCAGATGCCTTTTAATTAAGCCCTTCACTCACTGCACGCCTGACATGGGCGCAGTAAAGGGAATGAAAGTGGCTCAGGCTTCGGCCCGGCTGTGAGGTAATTCCTGCAGCTGCAGCCAGAAAGTGGGCGTGGCTGACACTCTGCTCTCCTGTCGGTTTTGCTGTCAGTCCTTCTGTGGAGGTGGTTTTTCCACTGATTGTTAGAGAGTGGGAAGGGGGCAGGGGCCAAAGGGAAACATCAGCGAGAGACACAGCGACTGGCTGCCTCCCACACACACCCCGACGGGGGCTGAGGACGGAGCCTGTCACCCAGGGACGTGCCCTGGAGGATTCGAACCTGCGACGCTTCGGTGCTCCGGCCGACGCCCTACCACTGAGCACACTGGCCAGGGCCCTGCGCTCCCTCCTCTCTGCACAGTGTCAGTGGTCGCGTGAGCTGCTCCCACTTACCCTCCCGGCCGGGAGGTCTTCCCCACGTGCCTCTCCCGCCCTCTGCTGTGGGCAGACCGGCCACGCTCAGCCTGGATGTGCCTCGGGGAGCAGAGCCCGCAGTCCCCGTGGGCGGGGCTCAGCAGGGCCCACAGCACAGCCCCGGACAGGCCCCACACCACACTCGCTGCTCTCCCTCCCACTCCAGCAGGGGTTCCTGACCGTCTCAGACCGACCCTGAGGCGAGAGCACCGACCAGCCTCACAGAACGCTGAGCACCTGAGCCAGGAGGCCGCTCTGCTCAGGAAGCAAACCAACAGGCCCCGTGCAGCAAACCCCGTTTCACAGGCCCGGCTCTTAGGAATGGGACATAATTACAGCAGAGAGGCAGGGCCCTTGCCCAGGAGGGAAGGCGGTTGCCGACGTGGGAGAGGGGACTCCGGGAAGCAGCGGCAGGTCAGCCTGCAGGGCTCTCTGACCCACACAGAGCACCGCTCAGGAAGGAGCGGGAGATCTGCTCTGACTGCAGCGGGGACACTGCCCGGCCCCTGCGTGAGGATCTGCGGGAGCCACAAAGCAGAGCCCCACGGCCCAGGCCTGAAGCCGGGTCTGACAGTGACGGAGGGCCCCCTGAGGCTGGAGCCAAGAGGCCGGGGGAGCCCACACTCAGGCCTCACTGGCCGCACCCAGTGCAGACGCCGACCCTTGTGGCCTCACCTCCACGGTGAAAGGACTGTCCTCGGCCTTCCCGAGCTCGGCCTCTGGCGCGGGGTGCTTCAGGGTTTGCAGGAACAGAGCGGCTTTCCGCTTCCGCTCCGCTTGCAGCTGCTTCTCCTTGGACTCCTTGGACGCCTGGGCCAGCTTCTCCCGGGCGGCGGCGGCCAGGCGGTCCTCCAGCTTCTGCTTCGCTGAAGGAACAGACAGAGGAGAGAGCGACGTCAGAGCCGGCAGCGCTCTCAGACCCGCTCTCCTAATTTCCACAGCGGGAAGGGCACCACCACAGCGGTTACTTTAAAAGAGGAGCGAGACTGAAATGTCAGGACAGGCAAACAAATCAGACCAAACACATTTTGAAAGAACTAGTTACAATGCTTATTAGCAGCATTTTTAGATTCACTTTCAAAATCAGTCAGATGGAGGGTGGGCTTCCACACAGGACAGCGGGGAGAGTGGAAACCTGCCCCGCCTGCCTGAGGCTGACAGCTGTCCACGGCGCAAAGCATCCCACCTCCCAGCGGGCCGACGGGTCGCAGCCTCAGCACTGCCGCCTCAGCAGGTCAACCAGCGAGTTTAACACACTGTGTAGCTCAGTGGGTAGAGTGTCGGCCCGAGGACTGAAGGGTCCTGGGTTTGACTCCAGTCAAGGGAAGGTGCCTGGTTGCAGGCTCCTCCCAGGTCCTGGGCGGCACGTGCAGGAGGCAGCCACTCGATGGTCTCTCTCCCGGTCTCTCTCCCTCCTCCTTCCACTCTCTCTATAAAAACCAATGGACAAACATCGGGTGAGGATTAACAAAAAGCCACAAACAGGACACACGGACACACCTTGCTTGGCTTCCAGCTCCTCCTGGGTGAGCTGAGGCCGCTTCTCCTCGACCACCACGCAGGGCGGGGCCGCCACGGGGTCGGCGCTCGCAGCGGCGCCCGCGCTCTCCTGTCCCTCTTTGCTCTCGTCGTCGTCGTCACTGTCATCGTCCAGCTTCACCCGGTTCTTTTCCAGGGGAAGCAGATCGTTCTCTTTGGCCTTGATCGCAAAGCTGATTGGAGCAAACGAAGCTGTGGAGGAAGCGAGAGGAGACCCGCGTTAGGGAACAAAGCAGAGCGGGCACCCTCCTGCCCCCCCCACGCGCCTCAGTGGGCGGAGGACGTCCAGGCGGGTTCCGGCTGCTCCCGGTGCTTCCTGCTAAGCCAGCGAGCCCTGTGATGCACAGGCGGTTGCAGGCGGGGGGCACTCACGGGTAGAATTTAGTCTGTGTCACCAGGTTTTTCTGACATTTTCGTTGCGTTTGATAATTTTTTGGTAAGAAATGCTCTCATAGCGCTCGCTTTCTGGACTAATTATTTCGGAGCCGACTTCTGTGGAGGTCTGCACCCAACATTTCAGATGCCGCTAATCGTTTGGCATTTAAAGCTACAGACCTCGGTCTGACGGCCAACTGGTCCCCCTTGGGGACAGCCTGCTGTGCTTCCGCCACTGCCTTTTCTTCCGCCCGCCCTTTCCCCTGGAGATCGGAGACGCTGCTGACTTGCCTTCCCACCCCCTCCGAGCTTAGAGCTCTCATTACGCTTAAAACCCTTTCTAAGCGGCCTCTCCCAGGTGTCGATATGGGTCGCACTTGTTTGATCCTCTCTCCAGTTCTGTGAGAACACAAATTAGATGTAAGATCCCCCGTTCCTTAGGAACTGTCGGAGGCGCCCCGTGCTGCGTGGCTCAGGCGCGCGTCCTCCAGTGGCCCCGACTCCTGCGGCAGCGACTGTCTCCTCACCCGCGAGAGGCTGTGCTTCCCAGAGCTGGGCTGGGCTGGGCTGGGCTGGGCTGGGGCGGGCTTGTCCGGCTGGCCTGCAGCTCTCAGGCTCAGACCGGGGGAGGGAAGCGCCCCCTTCCCAGCACAGGCTGCTGCCCAGCCTCCCCTCCACACACTTCTGCTGGCGTCACTGCCACTGAACCCCAAAGTGCCCTTCTCTCTGCTCTGGACTGAATCCCCGGAGGTCTGGCTTCTGCTGAACACAGACGTGCAGTCCTCGCCGCCCTGCCCGCCTCCCCTGGGACGGCGGAGCGTCAGCCTGTTCCCGGCACTGCCTTCTCCCTTCCCCTTCCTTCCGTTAGCTCCACTCCAGGCATCGAGCCACCAAAGCCCCCAGCCGCTGCGCAGCAGCCACTGGACGTCAGTCCTCTTGCCTGGACCCGGGGTCCCTGCCCGCTGATGTCCCAGAGCAACAAACCCCGCAAGCCAGCCACGGTCACCTTCCCAGGTCGTGCCCACTGCACCGCCCAGCGCCTCTGCCTGGGGCCGCGCCCAACACGGCTCAGAATGCTCCCCTCCCCTGGGGGGTGGGCCGCTCTGCCCCCTCCAGGAGCTTTCCTCCTGTTTTATTTTGTTGTGTTGGCTGTCACGTCCGTCTGTCTGTCCTGTGGATGAGAAATCCTTCGCAAACATAAAGGGAACGGGACTGAATGGGCGGAGTCCTGCCTGGGAGAAAGCGGTTTCCGGGACAACGTCTGCATGTCAATTAGGCTCTGAAGGCCCAGACTAATCCCTTGAAATGTTCTGCTCGGGCCCCTGGGACAGCCCCACCCGGCGAGTGCGAACGTCAGGAACGCCTGGGAGGCCAGGCCGCGTACCTTTCACCAGCTTCCCATCCGGGGCAGCCTTCCCGGACGCCGACTCCTTCTTGCCCCCTGGGCCGCCTCTCCCTCCTGTGTCCACCGCGTCCTCAGCCACACCTTCCTCCCCCGGGTCGCTGGGCTTTTCAGGGGCCGACTCTGCAGGAGCCTCCTCTGGTGCCGACACGGCCTGCAGACAGGAACGGGGCTGAGAACCACTCGGCAGCTCAGACCCTGCCCTGGGCAGCAGCGTTTCTACGCTGCCCCGCCCACCCGCCTTCTACCCTCAGGTACCTGAGCGCTGTCGCCCCCTTCTTTCTGCAGGAAGAACTGCTTCTTGAACTCATAGTAGGGGTTGTACTGGTGCCACGGCTGGAGGAACTCGAACCTGCGGACAGAAGAGGGAACCGGTGGGTCATCAACACACACACACACACACACACACACAGAGCGGTGACCGGCTGTGGTGACTGTGCACCGTGGGGAGCCGGACACTGTCACCACCACTAACTAATCACCCCCACAGCTCTGCGCTGTGGCCCCACGGAAGCCCCGCCCACTTTATACACAAGGGAGCTGGGGCACGGAGGCAAATCGCTTGTCCCTGTCACACGCATCACGCTCAAAACCCAACCTCACGTTGTCTTACTGCTGAGGCACAAAACATGATTTGATTTAAAAAAACCACACAACACCCCAAGATATGTGTCTAAATTTCCCTAGCAGATTGCTGAAAAGCCTGAATTCCTAAGGTAGCTTCAATGTAAAACAGGTAACGCAATAAAATATCACCACTCCAGCCGTAACCGGTTTGGCTCAGTGGATAGAGTGTCGGCCCGCGGACTCAAGGGTCCCGGGTTCGGTTCTGGTCAAGGGCATGTACCTTCGCTGTGGGCACATCCCCAGTGGGGGGTGTGCAGGAGGCAGCTGATCGATGTTTCTAACTCTCTATCCCTCTCCCTTCCTCTCTGTGAAAATCAGTAAAATATATTTAAAAAAATATATATCACCACTCCAACTCTAAGTAGTTTAACATAATCATCACAAGATGTATTTACCTCAATACATAAGGGTTAAAAACATTAAAAAACATGCAGCTAGATTTTTTTAAAGAAGCTACACGAACCCTCGTGACCATCACGTAACGCACTGACCCCGTCACCTCACCTCTGGTCGTTCTTGGCACGGACGCTGGTCTCAAACTTGAGGCCGTTCCTGGCCACGTACTCGGCCAGCTTGTCGATCACGGGCTGGATGTCGGGGGGCGGGGGGATGATGGCGGCCACGGGAGCGAGCGCACTGCGGGGAGGAGCGTCAGGTCACAGGGAGGCCCCGGCACAGACCACGCCCAGGGAGCTGTGGTCGCAGACGCGGGCTCACCCCTAAGTGCCGAGGCCTCGCTGCTGAGTGTTTGTTGGGACAGTTTCGCTGCCCCCTCAACTCCGTCACTTGGGCGTTGGGATCATAAACACTCAGACAGCAGACCCTCCAGGTCCCCCGGTGACAAGACCCCGCCCAGGAGCACAGGCGCACCGGGCACCCAGGGTGGGGGCGCACCTTGTGGTGATGGTGGTGGAGGCCACCCCACTGCTCGTCTCCGCGGTGGTGGGGGGCGGCGGGGGCGTGGTCCCGGGCGGGGGCGGGGCGGTGGCTGTCACTCCGGCAGTGCTGGACACGGCCACGGCGGCCGGCAGGGTGCTGTAGTACGTGGCCACGTCCACGCCCGGGGGGGGCGGGGCCAGGCAGTAGGTGCCGTCCGGGAGCATGTAGTAGCTGTAGTACATGGCGGCCACCGTCGCTGTGAACACACGTTTGGAGTGAGAGCAGCAGAGAGGGCACCGCCCACCCAGCGCAACATCACTGTCCACTTCCAACCGCACAGTCTCTCCACGTTCCCGGGACCTGAGCACCACACGCCTGCTCCAGCGGCGTCTCTCAGAGCAGGAGGAGCTGCAGGGAAAACCCGCTGCTGAAGGCGTCAGGCCGCTCAGAAGCGTGTCCCCCGCGCTGCGTGTGCGCTGCGTGTGCTTGGAAGCAGAGCCAGCCTGCACAGGGCAGAGAGCTGCCTAGTCACCTCCCACACGCCTCTGTTCCACTGTCTCCTGCAAGCTCAGGGCCCACTTAGCTAGTCCTTCAGATATTCCGACCTGATCTTAACCTCCTGTGACTCTACCTCCAGAGACAACCCTCCCACTGAAGGCTCCTGGGGACGGGCTGAGCCTCCCGTCTGTGCAGGAACGGAAACAGCTTCCCGAGTCCTGGGAACAGCGAGCTCCTCTGAAGCCCTGGGGCTCCCGTGGGGGGAGCTGGGACAGCGCGTGTTCCCGAGGGGTGACCAGCTGAGCACGTCTGAGAAGCAGGGACAGGCTGACGCTGTCACCGACCCCAGCTGCCTGCCCTGCAGCCCACCCATCGCCCACCCAGGCATCGACCGGGCCTCCGGCAGCGGACCCCCGAGTCTCGGTCTTGGTGACGCGCACCAGCAGACGGGTCTAAGTTTGGTGACTTTAAGCCCTGGTTGCCCTTGAATCTCCTCTCCCAGCCGTTCCTCCCCGACTCGGCGGTGCTGTTTGCTCTGTCTCCAACGGCCCACGGGGAAGGGAATCCCGTTCTCCGCTGTGCCCGGCCTGGCACGGCCCTGGTGCCAACGTGTGCCATGAAAGTACACGTCTCGTGGGCACCACCCACACGCTGAAGGGCCACGCGAGACCCTCTGCTGATACGGCTGGTGGACCAGCGTCAGAACAAACGACTCCTGGTGACCCACTGCCTAACGTAACCCCCAGCTCCGCCTCCAGCGAGACGCCCTCGTGAAGGTCGTCCCGTCTGAGCGTCACCCCGCTCGCGGGCTTCCCGGTCCCTGGGCGGCAGCAGCGCTGACCTGAGTCAGGTTCGCTCCCTTCACCCTGAAGGCCTCACCCCAGGAGAAGTCAAAGCGATATTCAAACCCCACGTGCAACTGCCAGTCACTGACTCCCGACCCCGCTCGGGAGGGTGAGGGCCGTGCCTGCGGCCCAGGGGTCCCCGCCGCCGCCCCTCTCCCTCCAGCTGCCTCGCCCTCAGAGCCACCTCCCTGCTGGCCGCGGGTCACGGTTAACAATCCCAGAAAGGCCCTCGGGCCTTGCTGGTCTCAGGCTGCAGGAGGGCGCTTTTCTATTCGCTCTCCAGAAAAGTCACCAAACCCAAACTCCTCACAACGCCAAGCCCGCAGCGCTCGCCTCAGAAGCACGGCCCCCAGACGCCACCCTCTGAACACCATCGAACCGGGAAGGGCTGGGCCCACCCGCCCCGTGGGGAGCCTGACACGCGGCCATGCAGCTCATCTGCTCCCTCCTGTGACCCCGAGACACCCCCTGGGAGACACAAAGTCCGCACAGAAGGAGGCCGTGCGGGATGGTCTCACCCGACAGAAAAGGCACAACCGGAAACGCGGGAGACGCTGCGTCTGGACCAGAGAAGGCCTTGCTGTGGGGCTTACAAAGCACCATGTCAGCCTCTGCTTTTCAGCCGCACCGGACAGAAGAGACGTGGCTGGACCGGCCACGCGACCGGCACAGAGAGGGACAGGAATGGCCGCGCTGAAGCCAAGACACACAACGGATGACAGCAGAAGAGAGACAACCCAGGGAGGACGCGGCGTCTCACCAAGAAGCCGACCCCGACGTTCGGGTAAACAGGAAAGAACTTCCTGGGAAGGAGACTGCGGCTGAACGGTGCACGGCGTGTTACAGGGAACTGGGCATGTGAGCTGACCGAGTTGTCAAACGTCAGAACCGAAGAAGAACGAATGCTCAGGTGTCCAATCAGAGCCGCAGCCGCCCACCGCGAGGTGGGGAGATGGAGCCGGCCGCTTTTCACAGCAACATTCAGCCCAGACACGCTCAGCGATGCCCTCGCTTCCAGGCCAGTGTGAGACGTGTCCTTCGCTGCCAAGCTGCCAACATGTCAAGAGGCAGCAGACATTTCCAAACACAAGAGCTCTGAGAACAGCGCCCGAGAGCCGTTAATGAAAACCACCAACCAGCAAAGCGAGCCCACGCCCCCAGCCCGGGCAGCAGCCAGCAGGCCAGCGTCCCCGCGTCAGGAAGAACCACGCCAGGCTCTATTTGCAAAGGTCACCGAGAAAGAAAACGCTCCCCGAGCATCTTCTACTCGGACGCGATTTCCTTTTCACACCAGGGCCGGAGGCAGGCATTTCTCACGTATGGAAGAGCTCATGGGGCAGAGCTCTCGTCAAAAGTTCCTTGTTTATCAAATCCGAACCCCAAGAGGCAAATGGGATGAAGAACTGGAAGGGGAAGCCGTGGTGGAAGCGAATCCGCGGGGCCGCTGAGCTGAGACTAACCAGCGAGGGCGCTCCAGCTCAGGCACAGCTGTGGGACAGAACACGCTTCTTACCAGGCACAGGTCGGGGGAGAGGGAAGGTGTTCCATGAACACGAACTTCCTCCAGCTTCACAGCTAATAAAACCCAAGGTAACAAATACAGCTTTAAAAAAACCTACCATTTCTACCTCTTACTGTTCTCCTAATCCTTAGAACTGAACCACTGATATGCAGTTACTTCACTCGGATTTCTGATTATAAGGTTCTTGTGTTAAATTCAAGTAAAATTTTAAAGTGTCCACTTTACTATTTCTATCCACACAGCCACAACTTACAGATTATTTCTGAACTGTACAATGTGAGCTGCCCTTTTCCCTCTTTACTTTCTACAATGACCTGTTTCTCCATTTGTGTCGATGTCCCCTAAAGTGAAAACGACTATTTTTGGATGGTGGGGTCTTGGGTAGTATATTTACTTTCTTCTTCTACTTCTCTTGACTAACAATAAAGTCATTTTAAAAAAGGGCTTGGAAAGTCACTTCAAGGTCACGATTTTGCAGAAAGAAAGGAAATGCTATAAACACAACAGCCAAAGCACATCTAGCAAATCCAGCCACATGGTGTGATTTAATTTCACTTACGCTATTTATGGGATGAAACATTAAAAAAACAAAGTTAGCATTTCACTAATTTCTTTTTTTGTTTATGTTTAAAAAACTGCATGCTGTAATATTGGACAGAACTTCAGTGACACCGCTTCCTGTAGGATTAACTCTACTACGAGCCTCTTCCGCAAGGAGTTACAGCTGAGCAGCAGGAGACAGCAAACCCTAACCAAACCAAGGGCATGAGAAGCAGCTCACTGCCAGGCGGACAAATGAAAGCACGTGTCCGAGTCCATCTGTACGTAGGGTTTCTAGCTAAGGTTCATTTAAAGAGACAGACGCTTGTCTTCCGAGGCTGCCAGGACCCGGGGGCCCCTCTGCAGCAGACGGAAACGCAGCCCCGAGTCCCTCGCGCGCGGCCCCCGTTTGCACGCGGCCGCTGCTTCTGCCCGTCTCACTGAGAGCTGCCGTTCATGGGATTATCAGTCCTTGTTTTCCATCTTGGCCGTAAAGGCTGTTTGTATGTTAGACAGTTTTTCCTGCTTTCTCAACAGTTTCACATTTTCCATTAGTTGAATGTGTCTGTTGGCTTAAAATAGATGATTCTTTATCTGTGAAAGTGCCTTATTTCCGGGGAGTTTCACATCTGGACTCCCATCTGGAAGAGGCTCTGCTGTTGGGTTCGAGGTGGACCTCCGTGTCGGCACCTCCTCCCACCGGGTGCTGACTCGGGTCCCCTCAGTCCTGCGCTGAGCTTCCTGGTGGGGCTGGGTGTGCGGCCCCGACCACCACCCACAGGACGACACACCCACAGGACGACACAGCCGCTCCTCTGCAGACAGCTGGGACTTTCTGCTGTCACCACCAGTTTTCCTCTTCAACTATTTTCCAGTGGACCTACTGTAACTGTGTATCTAATGAAATGAGTGAAAAGAGAACTCCTGTTCCTGTGGAAATGAACCCGAACCCTTTGCAAGGGCAGAAGGAAGGGCAGTTGCTTAAGGAAACTTCGGCGGGGCTGGCGGCGGGCGAGGCCGTGGGGAAGCCTGGCGGTGAGTGAGGTAAACCCAGAGCCCGGCTCCCAGGCCTGCGGCTCCCAGGCTGTGCCGCCACACCCAGGGCCGCCCCGAGGCGAGGGCTCTCCGCTGTGACCTGACGGACATGTCGTCCTTCACGCTGCCTCGGCTCCAGGCTGCCCAGGCCCTTGCTGTTCCCGACACCAGAGTCTGACCCAGGAAGCAACACCCAGGACCTGGCGCAGGTGCTCACACGCCCGCTCGGCGTCATCCTGACCTGCAGCCTGTGTGCCAGCCGGGCTCCTCCTGGAAACTGGACCAGAGCACACCCTCCAGCCGCCTCCCGCCCATGACCCCAGGCCTGAGCAGGCGTCCGCTGAAGGGACCCTAGGGCCTATGGGGACGCTCTTCTCCACGAGGCCCTGGCCCTGCCCTCCTCACAGCCCCAGGCCTCAGCTCTGCACCACCATTCACTCCCATCCCTGGAGCCCAGGCCTGTCCTCCCTCCCCAGCTGCTAGCAGCGCTGACCAGTGCTACACAGTCTGCACGGAGCAGCTCTGACGCCCTCAGCACCGGGACCCAGTGTTTTACAAGATGTGAACTTACTGCCGACCTCTGTACGCTGATCTGTCACTGCACACCCTGGACTGCCTGCTTCCCTGGAAAACCTGGCACTGGATCCCTGCCCTGCACGGCCAGCCAGGTCCCGCCCACCACGGCTCTGCCTGCACCGGCTCGTCATCTCCGCTGGGCTGTGCAGGTCAGACGGAGTTGGCCCTCCCAGGGCACACGACCAAAACCTGAACCGCAACACCAGGCACCATCCCCAAAGGCCGCCACGCTCTCCCACCTGGTGAGGGAGAAGATGTCAAACCCCTGCTCGAGGGGAAGCGGTGCTTCCTCACGTGGGCCCTGCTGAGCACTGCGGGTGGGGACCGTGGCCAGGCCGGGAGCCAGGACGTCACAGCGGGGGGCTGGCCGGCAGGGCCTGCGTGGAGCAAGGGCAGGGTCTCCATGGCTCGTCTTGGCCTCGGGAGGCCTGTTGGGCCATAGCAGGGGCTGCGGGGAGCCCTCTGACACCTGCGGCCCCTCTGCATCGCGTGGTAACTCCTGTGTCGCACAGCCTCCAGCCTGCCTGCTGCGGCCTGCCCTCTCCTGCCCAGCCCTGTGGGTCTGCAGACCCGCAGCACCATCGCGGATGCACATTGGGGTAAGCACAGCAGGTAACCAGCCATGGTCACTGCCCTGAACTTCTACTCCTTCCCCGGCAAAAAGTCTAACGGCCGCAGGACCCAGTGCAAGTGCAAGGCAAGGAGCTGCAGGCAGGTCTGAAAAGCAAGGGAGCCGGAGAGCCGTCCCCCAGTGAACGCACACCTGGACGATGGGAGACGGAGCACAACTCCTGGTCCCCCCGCCCGATTCATGGGTGCCAGCTGCCCACACAAAACCCCGCCGAGAGCAGGGGCGTCAGGGGCGTCCAGGGGCCTCAGCCCAGGGGTCACCCGGGCTGACATCCCCATCAGGCTCCCCTGCGCAGCTTCACCCGCAGGGAAAAGGCAGCTGCGGACGCCAGACCTGCTCTGTGCTGTCAACATCCAAGAAATGTGGTTTGACCTGATCTAACTGTGTAAGAAACCACCGAAGTTCTCTAAGAGGTTTTTTAGGACAATGCATTGGGTTCGCTCAGTTACCGGAGTTAAAGTCCAGGAATGTTCATTCAGCACATGAAAGTGATGCAAGATCGGTGCCGGGGACGGCGAGAGGGCACAGCTGCCCGTTAACCGAGCCTGGTCCCGGAAACGAGCGGCCTGCGCTGAGAGAGAATTACTCTCAGGCCCACGGCCCCGCCTCCACCTGAGAGTGACAAGCTTTCCAGGTGGATTCGTCAGGTCAGAGCTCCACGTGAAGGAGCTGAGTGAGCGAGCTCTGTGGCTGTGATAAAGGTTCTCCCCTTCAGTATTTAATCCCTGAAGGAAATACTTTAAAAAGACCTGAGCCCTGCCCGGTGTGGCTCAGTGGATAGAGCGTTGGCCTGTGGACTAAAGGGTCCCAGGTTCAATTCCGGTCAAGGGCACAGGCCTGGGTTGTGGGCTCCATCCCCAGTAGGGGGCGTGCAGGCAGCAGCCAATCCATGATTCTCTCTCATCATTCATGTTTCTCTCCCTCTCCCTTCTTCTCTGAAATCAACAAAAAATATATTTTAAAAAAATAGAAAAATAAATCAATAAAAAGAGCTGATAGTGAGACCAAGGTCAAATATTTTCAATGATTTCCTGGAAAGAACGCTGAGATCTGCCCTCGAAGAACAATCCTTAACAACTAAAGACGAGAGAGGAAATGGAGCCGTAACCAGTTCGAGGAGCCCGTCGTCGAAGGAAAGGACCCTGACGGGCAGCACTGCACGGCCCCACGTCCATGCTCCCTCTCTCAACACGGCGCTGCCTGTCCGGGCGACCAGCTGGAAGCCCGTTTCCCAGCCCCTGCGCAGGACGGGAAGGCCGGCCGCACCGCCCGCGAGCTGAAGGAAACCCCGGGGGGTCTCTGAGGAGGGGCAGTGTCACCGGCACCTGCTTCCTGCCCTCGCGCTCCTAGTCCTTCCTGGAACCCAGAGCTGACGCTGGAGGTGGCAACAAACCAAAGGACCGAGCCGCACGCTCAGACGGCACCTCCACAGACTGCACGCCCGCCTCAGCCCGCGGACCCCTGCTGGCAAAGCCCTGCAGCTGGCGCGGGGGGGGGGAGGCGGGAGGCGCCCAGCGAGGTGCGCCCGGCGAGGTACTCACAGTCAGAGGTGTACTCCACCTGGGAGGGCTGCCCGGCTGCGCCTTCTGCCGAGGGAGGGGTGGGGGCAGGACTGTCTGCCTGGGCTTTGCGGACCAGCATGGTCCAGGGGGTGATCCCGGGTCCACCACCTTCAGAGGCTGCGGACAGAGGGAGCACGGTCACACTCAGCCTGACTCCAGACACAGCGTGCACGCTGCAGGGAACACGCACGCACATGCACACACACGCCCTGACGAGCTGGCTCAGCCTCTAGCTGCGATTCCCGGAGGAACTGAGCAGACAGATGGCTTCGATCTTCCTAGTGACCCCGAGGAAAGGAGAAGGCAGGCCCGGGACCAGACTGCACACACTCACACCTGTAAGACCCGATCCTGTCACAATGGGTTCTGCACAACCACCTCCAAGTCTTCACGACATTTTACTTATTCAAAGGCAGTTAAAATAAATGGAAATAATTTGCTCATGAGTTTTATAAACTGAGATACAAAAGAAAGTAAATTCCTTTGCCACAGTGCAAAATAGACCTCAATGATGACAAAATAGGATACAGCTATCATAGAAAAGAAATGCTTTCTTAATAAGTTTCTGAAATTAAGCCAGCAGTTCTGTGATGCAATAAAAACACAGCTCGGTAACGAGATAAGGACCTTCATCAGCTCCTCCAGGCGGTCACACTTCTTGGAGGCGAAGAGCGACGGGTGCAGGTAACTGCCGTCACCCTCGTCGTCGTCGTCCTCGTTGTCCGAGCTGACCCCCGACTCTGCAAGAAACACCCGTCTCAGGAGGGGAGGCCGCGCTGCCACCAGGTGTCCAGCAGGAAGCGGGGGAGGGGGGCCCGAGCTCGCCCAGCCCTCACTCGTCAGAGCCGTTGTGTATTTCAATTTTTTAGCAAAAAAGACAAAAACTCCTAACTGATTTATGAACGTAAAGTAACAGCAACAGGTATTTTTAAAGCTACAACACAGGAAGGCGGTGAGAGCTGTCGTCTACTGAAGCTGTTTCAGCTGAAGAGGGAAACCCCCAATGGCGGACGTGTGCAGAGACCACGGCCCAGCACACTGTGCAGAGTCCCCTGGAATGACTCCCCATTTAGATACCGTCCCAGGACGACAGCCCGAGACAGAGAGTGAAAACAGAGTGAAGCTGGCATGTCGTCTCTGCGCCGTGGGAGGAGTGGGCTCCGGCCCAGCCCCATGGGGAAGGGCATTGCTTTCTCTACAAACGCCGAGGGCCAGACGGGGAGGGGACATTGCTCAGCTGAGACAGTGTGTTCCAATGGCACCAACATCTCACTATGGCCTCCCTGGTTGGGCTCAGTGGACAGAGCGTGGGCCTGTGGACTGAAGGGTCCCGGGTTCGATTCTGGGCAAGGGCACATGCCTCGGTTGCGGGCTCGATCCCCAGTAGGGGGCGCGCAGGAGGCAGCCAATCAATGATTCTCTCTCCCTCTCCCTTCTTCTCTAAAATCAATAAAAATATATTTAAGCCCTGACTGGTGTGGCTGAGTGAGTAGAGCGTTGGCCTGTGGACTGAAAGGTCCCAGGTTCGATTCCGGTCAAGGGCATGTACCTGGGTTGCGGGCACATCCCCAGTGAGGCCTGTGCAGGAGGCAGCTAATGGATGTTTCTCTCTCATGGATGTTTCTAACTCTCTATCCCTCTCCCTTCCTCTCTGTAAAAAAACAATAAAATATATTCTAAAGTATATATATATTTGAAAAACCCATTTAATTATGTTCACCCTCTCCCAGGTGCACACCGCGGGGTGACCGCAGTGGTACCGTCACCATCCGTGGCAGGGCGGGCAGACACTGGGTGCTGAAGGGCAGGCTTGTGTGGCATGTGTGGGAGCAGCCCTCTGTGCCTTCCCAGACCCCCCCACGCCCCGCGACCCCGCCCGACGAGAGGAGCCAGCCGCCTCACTCACTCTGCTTCTCGTCCCCTCTGCTCTCGGCCAGCACCGGGTAGCGCCCTTCCTTCATGGCCTTCTGGATGAACTTGTAGTAGGGGTTGAGGTAGTGGTCGAAGCGCAGGAAGTCGAACTGCGAGTTCCGGGCCTGCCTGGCTTTCAGCATGATTTCAAACTGCGCCCCCTGCCGGCACACGAAGCGGGCCGTGCGCTCGATGATGGCGTGCATTTTGGCTGTGGGAGGCTGGGAGAGAGCACACGTGCACATGACTGGTTTTTCCTCTTGGCCACGGCCACAGGGCTCCAAACACAGACCTGACCCTGGGTTGCCCGCCCGGGTGGCTCCGCTGGCGGGAGCAGCATCCCCTACACCACAAGGCTGGGTCCCCTTTCTATCAGGCGTGGACCTAGGATGCAGGTTCCATCCAGTCGGGGCCCAGACAGGAGGCAACCAACCCACGTTGTTTCTCTCACACATTGATGTTTCTCTCACATCAATAAAAACATACCCTCAGGTGAGGCGTAAAGAGCTGAACCCCAAGTGGAGTCATCACCTCGTTAAAGAAGAAAGTGCGTAAATGACCCTGGCTTTTCTCCGTGAGCTCACGCGTGACTTTCAGGCAGCCGGGCCGTAACCCAGGGGACTGCCGGGCCCTCACCCCGCAGCCTCGCCCTGAACCAGCAGGGACCAGCTGCAGCAAGAGCGCCTGGAGGGACTGACAGCTCAGGTCAGCGTAAGGCCTGCAGCTGCCACTCGCGTTCCTGCGTCTCAGGACCTGCGTCCATGCAGGTGGACGCACGGAGTCATGCTTTGGGTTAGAGCGTTACACTGTTTTCCGCAGGTTGCCTCCTGTTTCCTGACAGTGTCTGATAACGACACCGCGGAGGATGCCAGCGTGGTGCTGTTCCCGTGTTTTAGAATAAGGTAAAGCGAGATGTTGAAAACAGTCTGACCCTGCGTTCCTTCCCATCGGCTCTGAACTCCGACCTTGGTGGTCGTAAGGAGGAAAAGCAATGGGGAAGCTGGCCTCGCAGAGCACGGTCTGTGGGCTGGACTCGCTCTGCATGGCCTCCTCCTCCCTGTGAAACGGGAAAAGGGAGGAGGACGCATGGGAACCTGGCAGCTGGTGTCATGACTGCTGACTAATATTTCTGTCCTGGGAAGGGCTCTTACAAGAGTCCTCCTTTTTTGTAGGAAAATATAGACAATAAATCAGTAAACAAACAAGCAGTGACCGTGACCAACAGGACAGGACAGGCAGACCCGCACATACCAGCTCCACGTCCGGCGGCACGTTCAGTCCCACGGGGGCAATGAAGGGCTCCTCGTTCTCCTCCACATGGTCAGCCTCACTTTTTTCTGTGTAGAAAGAAGACACACCTTCAGGGCCGGGCCCAGGAGGCGGCACCGACATAAAGAGCAACGTAGGGAGCAGTGACTGGTCCTTTCCCTTTTTCCTATCGTTTATTCTAGAAACGCTTCCCAGTTTTCCATTCTATTCCACAAGCAAAACCACTTCAACCACTTCAGCAAATCGAGAGAGAGAGAGAGAGAGAGAGAGAGAGAGAGAGAGGTGGAAGGAGCCCGCACCGGGCCCGGCCGCCTCACCTCTCTGTTTGGAAGGCTCCTCCTCCTCGGTCGGCTCGGACGGGTCGTAGTAGTCGCTCCCGTACGCGAACCCCACCGCGTTATAGCTCCCGTCCTCGGCGAGGGCTTCACTCAGGCGCTTGTATTCTTCCTCTTGAATAAAAATGAGAACTTTATTACACATAGAAATTTACTGAGGAAAAGTCCATATATTTCTAAAGTCGTAGCTATCAGTAAAGCATAAAACACACTTTTTCAACCTCTCTTCGAGGCAACGTTTAAAAATTCCCACTTCACATCTATCGACGTGTACTTCTGCCAGTACATTTTACCAGACAGCAGAATACACGTCTTTTGTGGAAAATTTCTTCCTGCTGAGAAATCTGGGATTAAGAACCGCATTAAAGATTGTGAAGGCAAAGACAAGAACATCAATTGTAGTTCATACGATACTGTTAAAGGAGAACAGTTAAAGAGTTTGGTTTTTGTTTTGTCAAATCCCAGTCTGCCCTCAAAAGCTGGGAAAAGTCTCTGTGGCTCTACATATAAACTATCCTGAGGTCCTCCCAGAACGCAAAGACGCCTGTTTTTCCAATCCACTGGGTACTGTCAAGATAATATCAGAAAGAGTGAGTATAAAAAAATGAATGGGAGTAAATTTAAATACTTAAAAATTTAAAACGTTTGTGGCTTAAGTAAGTTTTTCTTGAGCAGTACCTTGCCTTGCCTCCTCCTCAAGCAAGTCCGTATGCAAGGCTAAATACCTCTCTTCATCACACAGGGCCTCTATTCGCGCCTCCTCTTCCGAGAGCTGGTAATCTCTGTTCCAGGTGGAATACTCGGCGTCGTACTCAGAAAGGTCATGCAGGTGACCGCGCCCATCGTATCTGTAACAGGAACACGCTGGTCAGTGGGGAGAAGTTAACGTCGAGGTTGCTTTGTGTGTGAGCTTTTATATATACATACTTACCAATTAAATAAAGAAATAAAGTATTAAAACAAACATAAGAACTACTCTCTGATTTATATTTAATTTGGCTAGCCACATCTCACCTACTTGCAAACTCAAGTTATGTTAACAAAGTCTAAATTCTTTTCTACAATATGATAAAAGTTATAGTTAAAGGTAAACAATCTTTTAACAGCATAAATGGTAGATCCACTTGGTGGCAGTTCTTACCGTTTATGGTTTGCTCAACTATTTAATGTCATTTGCAAAAAAAAATATATTTTTCTGAAAAGTCAAGTATCATAGCTTACAGTCACACAAACCGAGTCCATAAATACCTATCCGTAAGAACCCAACGCTGGACATTTCCTCCTTCTCTCTGCTAGTCCCGAACTCTCAGGAGATTCTTCACCCAAGAAACGTGGTCCATTGGAGTAAAATCTGGGCTAGGCTGGCCCCTAGCCACTGGCTGAGGAGATAAGTGCTGGGTTACGGGGTAGAGACACACGAACACACAACACGACAGGCACATGCAGCTCGAGGAGGTTCGCTGGCCGGAGCGCCAGGCGGGGGTGCGGCCGGGCCGCTTCTGCCCTTCAGCCCAGGAAACGGTGCCGGGACACAGCCACGGACACAGCCGCACGGACACAGCCGCACGGACACAGAAAGGCCCTTTCTGTTGCGCCTTCAAATAACCGACTAATGCAGCGCCGCCAACGAGCGAGCGCCCGCAGCCAAGGACTGAGCCTGCGAATTTCACCTCCGCGTCCAGGCAGATCTGGGGTCACTAAGGCGAACCCAGAGACCAAAGTCGGCCGATGTTTAACGCTGACTTTCGCAAGAAGGACCCCAAAAAGGGCATTTTCAAGACAGAAGGCCAACACCCCCAGGGTCGCGAAGCGACTGCATTTCATTCGGCTGCAGGATGGCTTTTACTTTGGTGCAAACCTCCTTAAGGCACAAACGTGGTTCCTCGTTTGAGAACGTTACAGGGCACATGCGCGGCGTTTGCTCCCCACCAGCTCGGGGCGGCCTGCCTCCCTCTGGGCCGGACGGAGGGAGAGCGGCCCGGGGCTGGGATGGCGCGACCCACGGTCCCAGCCAACGGGAGCGCATCGCGCTGACGCGGCCACAGCCTCCGGGAGACGGAGACGGGCGGGGGCGGGAGCCTCCGGGCCGCCCCGACCGGCCTGACCTCCCATCCCAAGCCCCGTCCTCTGGTCCAGCTCTGACTCCACCGGGAGGTCAGGGTGGAGGAGGCCGAGGGGTCCTGAGCGCGTCCACGTGGCGGCTCGGAGGGCAGCCCGTCACCGGCCAGCGCTTGGCCGAGTCCAGGTCTCAATCGGCTCAGCCGATGGGCTTCCCTCACTGGGGGGGAGGGGGGGTCCAATTTAATGGCTGGTGGTCACGGTCACATTTTCAGTCCGGGCCCCAGAAGTGGAGTCGCCTAAACGGCTCCCCCAAAAAAACACCCCAAAAAACACCCAAGCCCCAACGCAACCAAGCCAATCAACGAAAGGCGAGGAGGGGAGAAGAAGGGGGAAAACACGGGGGGCGGTGGGGGTGGAGGGGAGCAAACGCCCTGCACCCTGTGACGTCACCCTCTTCCAATCGAGTTCATCTTTAGGGACCGACCCCGGGGCGGGGGGGCCCGGTGCGCAACGGCGCGGGTCTAGTTTGAAAAGAAGCGCGTCCGCATCCCGGGGCGCCGCACCCCGACGGGCACCTTCGCCCGCCGCCGCCGGAATCCGTCCAACTCGCCCGACACCCCAGCCGGGCCGGGGGCGGGGGGGCTGCGTGGGAATCCAGGGCCACAGCCCCGCGAGCGTCACTCACACGGGCGCCCCGGATCGAGGCTCCCGCCCGGGGTGCGGGTCGCGGGGGCAGCGCCGACCCCGCCGGCGAGAGACGCGGCCCGGCTCCCGCCTGAGCCTTCGGGCAGGTTTCACCGTCCCCCTCCTCCTCCTCCTCCTCCTCCCGACCCCGGGGGCTGGGGGGACAGGACACCCCGATCCGGCCCGGCCCCCAAGTCAACATCAGACGACATCACCCGGGCGCGGCGAGGACGGAGCGACGGGCGGGGAGGCACCGACCTGTCGATGAGGATCTTGCGGTCCCCCATCCAGGGGATGAGGTGCTGCCCCTGCTCCAGGGCCAGGGCCCGCTCGTCGTCCCGGAACAGCTTGCAGGCATAGCCGAACACCAGCAGCTCCACTCGGCTCCCCCCGCCGCCGGCGCCGCCCGGCCCGGCCTCCTCCTTCGCGCCACTTTTCCTCTCGGTTTTGGCGCGGCCGCCGCTCGCGCCGTACATGACAGCGTCCCCGGCGACCGGGCTGGCTCTGCCGTGCGCCGCTCCGCTGCCCCCGACGACTCCGCCTGGCCTGGCCCCTCAGTCAGAAGTGCCGAATCGCCGGCCCTGATCCGGGCGCCGCCGCCATAGCGGCAACAAAA